TACATAATGGATTTATTTTAAACACAGCTATATAATGAATGCAGTTAAATAATACAAAAAAGTTTACTCATATAATTATGTGTAAAATATTTATATAGTCATATTACTCTCAAAATATATATGTGAAAGCTTTTAAACTTTTTACATGCAGTTTGACATCATGTCTATCACAGTATTTTAGGTCATGTATCACAATACTACAAACCACATCATCTTCAGGTCCATCTGTATTGTCTGAAAAATAGCATTTTTTTCAATCTGTGTATGATGCTGGCATTGGAAGTAGTATGTTATCAAAAGCACCAGTACATACACATTTATTGTTATTATTGTTTATTTTTAGGCTTTTCTAGAAGGACAGATATTATATCCACAAAACAACTTCTGACTCTATGCTTATATAAGTGATTTTTAAGAGAGTGACTTACAAAGACAATTACTGGATTTTTCAAGACAACACACCCAGGAAGAGTTACTGAATTTCCTTGTGTGTCTTCTTTTTCTCTGCCTCCTTCTTATCCTCTCCTTCTTGCTCCCACCCTCATTCTTTCTGCTCCTTCCCTTATCATTGTTCTTCCTCCTTTCTTCTTTAGTTGTAACCAATTCTATTGCTACCATCTCAAAGAACTCCCAAATAACCTTGACTCAGGTCATTTGATGGTAATGTGACTCCACAAATAAAACTTTCCCAAATTTCACAGGTCAAAATTAAACAATTTAGAGCCATCTGTGTTATGACACACCAAGTAAAACTTCACCTGTAATTTTCCTCTTGTGCATAAACAATGAATTTTGGAACACTGAAAAAAATAAAATTAGATTAAAAAAAATATATTCAGATTATATTACATTTGGTTTTTTAAGGAGGGATTACCATACTATATTTTAAACATTGTAGAAACTGAGACAGGAATTCCTTAATTGTTCAAGCTCTGTCTGATCCCCAGATCCTTTTTATCTTTACGTTACACTGATATCTACATAATGATGGTAAGATAAATTTTAGCTCTTCTGTTGTCACATTCTTAAATATATAATCTTCATTTTCTCATTCCATCAATCTATATTTTTGACTTGTAAGTATGATGACAACTCAAAGCTTATTAAATTTTGGCTCCTGCTGTTCAGTCCTTAGTAAAGTACCTACGCTTCCTACCCTCCTGGTATTTTCACAGTCCCAAGGCACATATGCAAAACTCTTTCCTCTCTCAGTAAAATGAAAAGCACCCTTGCTAATCAATATCTACAGTCCACCAATTCCCATTACTAAACATGTTTAAGCCTTTGGACATGATCAAAGTAAGTTCCATGCAAATGTGTACCAAACTGTAAATGTGTGTGTGTGTGTGTGTGTGTGTGTGTGTATACACATACACATACATATTATTCACCTTTGAGTAACTATTTTTAATATATTTATATATTTCACATGTAAAAAGTCTATATGCGTGCTACAAATCCTTTATCTGTTAAGAATAACTCTGTAGTTAACACTTGCATGATGACTTCATTTAGCTATATAAGAAATTGTTATGCTGATTTATATCATAGTCTAAACAAATGTTCAAATTCTTTCTGAAAAAGAAAAAACACAAATTTTAGTAATGATGAATTATTTAATCAATATAAGTTTACTTTGACATATTTGTTTTTGAAAACATTTCAATGTTGATAATTGTTTTAACATGAACATGGAACATTCACATCTAGGATAATTTCTGCTTGTAAAAAAATATTCTAAAATAGTCTTATGGGTTGAACTGTGCTCCATCTCTCCCCCAAATCATATATTGAAGTCTGAGCCTCCAGGACCTCAGCATGTGACCTTATTTGGAGATAGGGTCTTTAAAGAGATAATTAAATTAAAACAAGGCAATTAGGGCATCCTAATAAAAAGGGAAAATTTGGACCCAGAGACACATGGAGGGAAGATGATATGAAGACACAAGGAAAAGATGAACAGCTACAAGAGACAGTGACAGGTCTAGAACAGATACTTGCCTCATCACTCTCAAAAGAACCAGCCCTACCTACACCTTGATTTGGACTTCCAGCCTCCAGAACTGTGAGACAATAAATTTCTGTTATTTAAGCCACTCAGTCTATGTTACTTTGGGATGGCACCCTTAGAAAACTAATACAATACCACTGTGAAACATTTGCTTATACACATCCATGTAAATGGACTCTATTGCCTTTGCTAGAATGTAGATTTTAATTTTAGTTTCATTGTTATGATTATAAACAATATACAGAAATTTTATTATGGATTTATTTCTGCTACAAGTAAATATATTTTACTACATATCTATTTTTTCTCTACTGCATTCCTTTTAAATGAATTAATATTTTAAAATATCTTTTATTAGGTATTTCCAGAATTTCTATAAAAATATCAGGTAAAAATAGTAAGATGAGACAATTTTAACAGGTTTATTTTATACTGTTCATTGGACATAGTATTTCTACTATTTCCAGTGATGTAAGTTCCATTTTTAGTGGAGTAATTTTGTACTTCAAAAGAAATCACATCTAAATTTCTACAGAATGGGTAGGGATTTATTTTTAAGAGACTTCTATGAAAGGAACTACATGAGTGAAAATTGCAGAATTGTTACCGTTGTGTTGATTAATAATAGACTTCATTCTTCCAAAGTGTATTCTGTTGCTTGTGGGTAATACAGAAGAACTTTTTGAAAGTTCTAGAAGAGGAGAGAGGAAAAATTAAAGAAAAGAATTTATCAGTCAAAAATAAAATAGCTTTGGTCAGGAATAGAAACCATGGAGCTTATGAAAGCAGTCAAGACTTCAAAACTTTTCAGAGGGAGAACTAGAAACGTATGGATTTTTCGAACTACACCGTCTGCCTAGATTAACCTTCCAATGAATTGCAAGCTGTATCTCTGAAATTAAGATATTTAGGGCTTGCTTGAATCCTTTGGCTGACACTTTTTCTAAATATATCCATTAAAACTGAAAGCATTTTCTTCACAGACGTGCTTGAAAATTTGGGTACCTGGATGTCGATAATTTGGGGATTTTTTTTTTCTGGAAAAATACCACAATCTCAAAATAATAGAAAATATTACCTGGATAACTACTTAAAGATACTTGTTACTTAGTGGACATTGTTCTCAAATTTTACCTCTTTGTTCTTTTTTGTTCTTCAAGTGTTTGTTCATTTCAGGCCAAGTGTGGCATTATAAACTCTTCAGACTTCAGGAGAACCTTGATGCCATATTTCAAATTGAAAGCAGGCTTGACAGCAGGGTAGCACTTGAGTATTTCCCAAGCTACAGGGTGACTCCTGTTTCAGAACCCGATAATGTGATTAAATTATTCCAATATTATAGTTTCAAAAGATATTTACCAAATATCTCAAGAATTTACGGATAATTTGTATTTCTCAAGTTTTGTTTACTTGATGAGTTTTCCACCTTAGGAAGAAGATGGACAGTTTGACTGATATCCCTTCATAATTTGAATAGAATGGGTCCTGAAAATTCAAGTCAGAACTAATGGAATATTTTCATTGTGTTGTAGTTTATGCTTGCCATATGTCTTTGGTATCTCAAACTAAGTCCCATGTTATATATGAAAAGATGTCTGTACCTCTCTTTTGGTAAACATTGTGATTAAAGCTGTGAAGGAGAATGAAATTTGCATCAATGGGATTAGGGTACCTGGATGATTTAAATAATCATAATGCCTTTATTTTAACTTCTCTAGGTTAGTGAAAGAATGAATAAATTAAGTTGAAATAAAGAGAATGAAGATGCAGCTTCTAAAATATTAAGAATCTTCACTCTGTTAAAAACAGTTAAATTTTCAATGATAATAGAGTTTTCTTCTTAAATCATATATATATATACATATATATATACATAATTTGTTTTTACTCAAAATTTGCTTTTTATATTTTGTAAGCCACCTTTGAAGTGACTTGTGTGAAGCAGCTAGATGGCAATGCAGAATAGTATTTAACATGGGTGATTATGACATAGCTTTGCCTTTCCTCATATAAGTAATATGTCCTTAAACAGATTCAGCACAGTATCAAAGTCAGAAAAATATGTAATAGTGTATGTCTATGCTCCTTTGAAGAAGAGCTGCTGTAAGGATTAAATGTTGGACATATGTAACTTTTAGATCAGAGGCTGCCTGTAGTAAGAATATCATAAATTAAGCAGTTCACTATAACTCAACAAATATTCATACATTTGGAAATTTAATGCTAGAGTTAAGATTGATAAATGTTAATCACAGTGACCCTGCGGAGACTATTCTCAAACATACGCGTTGGTAATTATAGCTGATGTTAAAGCAAGTCAGGGTGTATCTGCTGCTCAATTCGTGGGATTGATTCATCCTTTAGTCCAATGGTGTGGTTTGAGAGCCTCTCTTGGCCTCTGCTATCTGTAAAGTAACTTTATAATCAAAATGGAAAATGAAATGAAAAATAAAGATATACATTATATAATGGGAAAAAAACCAAGTATAATGAAAATGAAAAATAAGGGAAAATTATCTTTAAAGCAGATGCTTGCCTGCCTTTGCTCCATTGCTTTGACTGTCCACATTCATCAAAATTAGAGAGCCACTTTCCCATCCATTTCCACTCAGTTTGATCCTTGCTAGTGAACTTGCCAGGAAGGGCTACTTACAGACAGGAGTTTCAGGGAACACTGATTATCAAACCCCACCAAATCTAGACCACTAAGTCAGTTTGTAAGGGCCAGCAAAGAGCAGGAAAATGGAAATTACTTTCAGATATTACTAATTTGTATCAGACTTGGGTTGTGGGCCCAATAATAAAATGTTCTGTATCTTATTACTCATCACTTGAGTCACTTGTTCCTCTTGTTCTTTAATTAACTTTTGTTATTTTTTTTAACTTTTGTTATTTTAAAGAGTGCCTTTGGAATGTTTTCACTTAAGTATAGGAAATGATCATCTTCATTCACACTTTTAACTTTTTTTGTTGTTCTTTTTCTCCATAGGGATGCAGATCTGTTCCTGTTAGACACAAGAAAGGCCCAAGCTTTAGATGTGGGTTGGCTTGTCTTCGATATCACTGTGACCAGCAATCATTGGGTAATTAATCCACAGAATAACTTGGGTTTACAACTCTGTGCAGAAACAGGAGATGGTAAGCAATGAATTTCAAATATTTTTTGTGACACTAGTTTTGACACATTGAGAGTTATAGCTTTCTATACAATTTGACCAAGATAGAATAGATTGTTGTATACTTACGATGGGCAAGGTAGCACCTGCCATAGCATAGTGCAATATATTAATTAGTTAATTGATTTACAAGCGTATTTTCCCAACACACGTTTATTTTAAGACTTTGTAGTAGGCATAGAGGAGTAAAGAAGAATTAAATATTGTTTCTTGCTCTCAAGGAAAGAAGTTTTTAATCTAGTATTGAAGACCTGTGCACAAACAAGTAGGACTACAGCAATATAGTAGCTCCAAAAGAAAGCTATATACAAAGGGCTATGAATCTATGTCCTGATTGTGATGGTAGTTATACAACTATGTAGTTTGTAAGAATTTATAAGCTGTGCATTGGAATAAATATTATTATGTGTAAAAGATATCTCAAAATAACTAAAAATAAGTTATATATAATATATATATATTATTGAACACAGCTTTATATATATAATATATTATATATATAGTATTATACAGTGGTGCTAGGGAAACAGGAAAAGGAGCTACTAATAATACAAGGGGAGAAGGGAAGATGGAGATAGAAAGAGGCACAAAATCCTGCAGAAAATATCATTGTTAGGTCTTAACATATTCCAATATTGGGTCTAAGACAACAGCTCCAGAATCACCTGTGGGGTGGAAGGGTTTTTAGGAAATCTTCATTTTGAAGACGCTTCAGAAATTATTCCTGTGCTCACAAGTATTCATTGAGCACCTGTGTGTGGTGTGCTTGGCTAGATGCTGGAGATAAAATGGTAAGCAAGTGCAGAAACAGCCCCCTGAGATTTTCAGTTGACTGAGTCTCAAGTAGTGATCACTTAGTCATATTAGTGAATGGGTGATACTGCCTACTGAGATGAGCCCAGTGGATTTACAAGTGTAGAACTGTGAATGAGTCTGAACTACAGTCTTAAAGATCAGGAAGACGTGATTGGGGTAAAAAGTCAGGGGCAGGCATTTCAGACAATGGAAGAGAATAGGCAAAGACTGTGGTGAAAGGGGTCTTTGCACATTCCAGCAGGATGCCAGGGAAGCAAGGCCAGTTTATTCAGAGATTGCTGTCCTTTGATCACTCAAAGAGTCCAAAAAGTTTAAATCCAAATCTGGACTTTCAAATCATTTAAAATTATATTTCTCATGATAAGAGGATAGAACATAATTTATTTAATGATTTGTGAGTACTTTTTATCTATTCAGAAGTAGACCTAGTGGATTTACATTGTGCTCTTGCCCCACATCCTGCAACGTGAGTACCAGGCCCAGGGAAGGTAGTTTATAAAAGGATGATTAATTAGAGGGTGTGCCTTATTTAAGCTTTACTGCCTGTAGTTTTCTGCAGGCTCAAGCAATAGACACATTCATTTGCTCTAGAGTTTGTCTTACTCCATCCTCTGCTGTATTACACTAAAGCCTTGTTTAAAAAATACAGAGTTAAGTAGAAGTGGGGTCTGACTTGGGTTTCTTGCAAAGGGAATTATTGCTATAAGCAATAGGACCTCACAGTAGCATTGTTTTACCTCTATAACCAGATTTACAGCGTAAGAATAATACTATAACCAACGTTGGTACTCCAAGGATTGCATATATGAAATGAAGTTGATAGCTACAAATTAAATTTATTACAGAGTTCATCTAGTGAAAGCTTCATGCTTCAGATCTTGACCTAGAAAAAGAGTTCTTGGTGTTACTGATGAGTTTCAGACATTTTCCCACTACATCTAGACTTCCATAGATTTCAATTACAATGCTGAATTTTAATTTTTTTTACGAACAATTCAAATATTTTGAATTGTAAGCTATTTTCCAATTATGACTTTGAGATTACCATTAAGGATTTTCAGAGTTCAAGCATTATAAAGGAAGACAGAGAAAAGCCCATATTTAAATAATCTTGCAAGAATTCTTACAATGTTAAACTACTGTACATTTATGGTCAGAAATGTGACTGGGAAATCAGTACTGTGGGGTGAGCAGTCGTTTCTTCCCTGGTATGTGGCCCAAACGAGAAAAATTAAATTAGTGGTGTGTGCTTCTCCCAGTCTTCTCCTTGGGGAGATGCTTGAAATGTTTAACTAAACAACTCAAGAGATCTGTGAAATATGATCAGCCTTTTCATTCCCTACCCACTCATACCCCACTTGAAAATTCTGAAATTTCTCTCTTGTTTTTCATCTCTTCCCAAGAATATGTTATATTTTGGAGTTCCTTTCCCCTGATTTATTTCTCTTATATATTAATTTGACTTTAAATTATTTTGGTATTATTTATGGGGGGCTTTGTGTTTGCTTTTGAACCTAAAATGAGTATTTCATTTTTTTTTCAAAAGCTTCCCAATCCTTTATTTAAGTGTTAGGTTGTCTACAGCCTTTGTTGCTTTTCTTTCTCTCTTTAATATTGTCTGATATGAAAATATTACAATGGTTAAATATGTTAGGCAAGCTGGCTTTGTGCATTTCAGCAATACTTAAAACAGATTTTCACCAGAGCTGGAGCATATTTGGTCTTGAGAAATAAAGTGACCTCCCCTGGCACCTTAGTTTTATTAACTGCAACCTCATGGAGAATCTACTTGTGACATTTCTCTGTAAATATGGATAACCAGATGCTTCAGCTTATTATTGCTTCATTCATTGCTACTGCTGATGTTCTCAACATGATATTGTGATATTGCTTCAAACAGAGCAGACAATGCCAATTCTGCATATATCCATTTGTTGATTATCTACTTATCCATTTGTTTGACGTAAAATTATTGAGTACCTATACAGGGAAGACATGTTAAAGGGCAATATAATCTTAGAGACGGACATAGGTAGCTAATTTTAGCAAAAGTAAAGTGCCCTAAATGCTAAAAATAGTGGTATCCTCAAGACACTCCAGGAAAATGGAAGAGAGAGGGTTAATTCCAAATGGGACAGAGCCTAAAGGTCTGTGATTCAGGTAACTTTTAAGCCAGGTGAGTTGAATAAGATTTTTTTAAAAAATGGAGATGAGAAGAGAGATAGTTGTGGAAGTATGTGGAGTGGTGGTGAGATCAGGAAGAGGGAATTCATTACTGGATGACGAAACAGTGAGACTAAATGCAGAGAATGGCAAAATGGCATGGTATAGTCTGGAAAAAGTCAATAGTTCAGAGTCGGCTAGAGCAACTTTCACGTCTAAAATATGACTGCAGATGCTATTAGGAAAGTGATTTGGAGGCAAATCATGGAAGGAAAATGAAATCTCACTTATGTATAATATATTCTTTTTGCTTGATCACACGTCATAAAAGAACCAGACCTGCTGCTTTACTCAATCACAGCAACACCATCATGATTACATGTTTGAATGAATGTCAGTTTCACGAGGTCGTAGGATGTGTATTGCTCCTTCACAGTCGCGCCCTCTGTGCTTGGTATAATGCAAGTTGTGGGTAGGCATTAAAAATGCGTATTGAATCATCACTGAATGAGTTTTCGATTTAAAAGACTTTTATACATCACCTGCCACTGAACACGTTACTGCTAGAAAACATTCCAATCTGTAACTTTTGGGTGATTATTAACCAAATCTGTTTGGTGTAACACAGGGGCAGAATTTTGTATCCAACTCACAGTATAGTAGTTAAAACGGTTTCAGTCATAAGGTGAGAAAATCAATGAAGTATATTATTAAATTTTGATTATCCTGCTCCTGGGAAGAAAAAAAAAAAGAAAGAGGCTGAAGTTTGTATTTTAGAAATCAAAACATTGCTGAAATCAAAAATTGCATGATGATTCCTAAGAGGGAACTGAAGAAAAATACCAGTTTATGAAGTACTTTTTTTAGAAATTTGACAAATGAACTGCTGTGGATTTGGCAGGAGAGTTTAAGGATATTCTATTGATTTTCTTTTTTCATACAGAGTAATTCTCCAAGATCCACATGTTTGTTTCAGGAAAATAAAGCAAACATATGAGCAGGCTAACCAAAAAGAAACACTGCTGCTTCTTAACGGTCAAATCTGGAGATTCCAGACAAGTAGTTGGATCCACTTGTGCAAAATCAGTTTCAAAGTTCTCAAGCGTTCTCTCATGGTGGTTAATAAATCTCTGTGATTAGATAGTTACTCTTTTTTTTTTTTAAGATTTTATTTATTTATTTATTTGAGAGAGAGAGCATGAGAGGGGGTAGGTCAGAGGGAGAAGTAGACTCCCCGCTGAGCAGGAAACCCGATGCAGGACTTGATCCTGGGACTCCAGGGTCATGACCTGAGCTGAAGGCAGTCACTTAACCAACTGAGCCACCCAGGCACCCTAAGTACTCTTTTTTAAATAGCAAATGAGTAGGCTTAGGTCTGTTTTATAATTTATTGTAAGATTTTCAGCTCACCAAATCATAAAAAATTCATTAATTATCTGACTTATTAGGTCTTTATTAAGATTGATGATAAATCTATGGTATCATTATCCCTTATACATATATACATACACAGTTTATTACACAGATAGCAATTTAACTGAGCTTTTAAGACTTAGAATTTCCCTCCAAACACTGTAATTTCCCACTGTTTGATGCTTTATATAGTTTAAACCTTCCAAGTAAATTAATTCTTTTTTCAAACTTGGGTTTATAGAATAATTATAGATGGAAAAACAAAGAGAGTATTTTTGGGTTCATTAGAATGTCTTTTAAAAAATCCTATGTTTTCAGACATTTTAGGTTTGGCAATACTCAGATTGAATTTTGCCAATGACTTTTTTTCTTTTCTATTCAAACCCACTTATACGTCAAAGAAAATTCAATCCGTATGTTTCTGATTCATTTGTATTCAAGTCATCAAAATGTTGTTTTGTCAGACTATTGTTTAATGTCCAAGAAACATTATAAAGTTCTTTTTTAAAATAAGACTCTAATATCCATTTTCCTTTGAAAGAAGTTGTGGCATAATCTTTAAGTATATCA